CCGGCTCTTAGAGCCGGCTCTTTGAAGTGAACGACATGAGCCGGCTCCTCATCGGGAGCCGCTCTTTATGGGAGCCGACTTTTTTTTTCTCCTGTTTTTTTTCCCCCTGTCGGTTAAAGCGGCACGTGATTGGTCAAGATCCGTGGTAGAAGAGGGAGGGGAGGGTTTTACACACACACACACACACACACACACACACACACACGCACACACACTCACAGACACACACGCGCGCGCGCGCGCGCGCTTCAGTGAAGAGAAGGGGGAGGAGACACAGACAGCAGCACCCTGTGAGCACTGAGCAGCACACGAACAGGTGAGACAGGGAGACGAGAGAGAGCTCGATAGCGCTACAGTACAGAGAAAAAAACTACACGTGGAAAGTGGAAAGGTGAGAAAATGGATCGGAAACGCAATGAAATTTGGACTAATTTCAACTTAATTGATAGTTCAAAGGCAGCGTGTAGACTGGGCAAGGTTAAAATATCCAATACCAAATTTTAATTTGTAATTTGTTGTGTGGTAATCAAAGCTTACTTATGTTGTTTTACTGTAAATATTTAAACACTTATAAATATGCACAATCAGAGATTGGAACTTTTTGTTGACCTTGTTTTGAGATGGGTCTTTGTTTTTGTACTTTGTAATTTACTTTTTTGTAGCACTCCATGTTGTACGCCATGTTGAGTATGTTCAGAAGAATATAAAGCCATATAAATAATAAATATTTGATATACTGTATATTTTTTACATTCGTAATTCATTTTACACATAATTTTACATTATTTTTGGGAGTAAACTAATTTAAGCAACAAAAAAACTGAGGAGCCATTTGGGAGCCGAAAGAGCCGGCTCTTTTTAGTGAGCCGAGCCAAAAGAACCGGCTCTCTAAAAAGAGCCGGAATTCCCATCACTACTGCCGTGGCATTATCGCTTCAACTTTTCACGTTTTATGAAACAATGACATGTAAACAAGCGGACTGCACCTCTTAAGCACTGAATTTCTCGAGACTTGACACCATATAAGTCAATAAAATCAAGCCTACTGACCGACCGAAATGAAGCCTAGGTCTCTTTTTTTGCCCCCCAAAACTGAAGCTGTTGCAATTTGAAAAGACTAATAATGTCACTTACTGCATGTTTTTTTATGATGTACAATATTATCAAGTGCTATTTTTTTCCATTAAAAAATATATTAAAATTGTAGGTGGGACCTGGAATGGATTAATGGGATTTAAGCGTGGCCATGCAACAGATTGCACCACTACAGTCAGCATTTTAACTGCTTTGCATTAAAACATCATTGAATCAATTGCATTTTTGCTTTTTTTTGGTGGGCGGGGGGGATTCCTGCCAACCTTGTTCATCTATGAATTCCTCTGGCATCATTCACAGTCAACAGAGCGCTCTTGAACTGTAACCGTAATCCCCAATCGATATTTTAAAATGAACTACCTACCGTGGCACACAAAAAAAACATCGAACCGCTGCTGTTCTGAAGATGAAGCTCAAAGTGCACCGCATCCAAAATTCTCTCGCTACTTCAGAATACGTGACCTTTTAACTCCGCTACTTTGCACCGGTGGAAAGAAACAATCGCTGCAGGCTCACAAAGATTGGTAGCGAGATGAATGGCAGCCATTTTGTTTCAACTGTCACTCATTCTCAATAGAGAATGTCGACAAAGTCGAGAAACAACTCGTGAGTTCCAAATTTCCCGGGTCAGGGGCTCGCTTTGGTTTTACCTGACGTCCGTGATGATGACGACGTGCTCGCAGTCGCCCTGGTGACAGTAGAGGTACGGGAAGCCCACTTTCACCTGCAGATCAAGCAGCTTCGTGTCCTCCATCTTGGCCTGGGAGTACGGGGGGAAGTTGTTGGCCTTGGCCCATGTGATTGTCGTCCTGCAAACGATTACAAAACACAGTTTGCTCAAAAAATATCCTCTCCTTGCATATGGCATTGCGCAAGTCCCCGAACGGGAATCGATACAGGCACTCAATGACCTTTAACCCTTTCAGGGACAATGCTTACTACAGTGGACAGCTTATCAGGTTGTCAGGTTACAGGTTGTCATTATTTGTGCATGAAAGGGTTAAGATGTTCTTTCGGATCCTTTTTCGGATACGTTTTGAGTGATTGTCATGGCCGGAAGACAAATCCACAAAGTTCCCCTTCCAACAGCAAGAAATTCAATCACAGCTCTGTGCTTCCGACGGACATCTGATGATGACACCATTTCCAAAATGGCTGACAGGAAGCGGATACGTTCCAAAACATTTTTTTAACGGTTTAGATTTAAACAAGTATTTTAAACACACACTGCGGATATTTCTGGAAAAAAAATTGAGCATGGCTCGTTACTTTTGGACTCCCCCCAGCTCGTTCAAGCCATTCTTCATGGAAGGATTTAACCTGACGAGCAAAAACGGGCACGGCGCGGTAAAAAGATCAATGATGATTTATCAGTTGAAGCGGATGCAACTTAAATATTGAATATGAAATTTTTTTTTTTAAAAGGCAGTATTGTGTTGATGTCATCATTTATTTGTGAAATGTGGGGCCACTGTGAAGCACATTGAGTTGTCTGAGTCATGAAATGTGATCTATAAAGAAAGCTACTTTGGCTTGCCAACTTTGGGCAAAAAAATAAAAATAGAAAAAAAATTGACCTGTTCATGTCTTTGTAAGGGAGCAAATTAAAAAAAAAAACCCTGAGCAGGATGTAGTATTATTTCATCCACTATATATCGCGTTACATAACGTCCGTCACAGGAGTACGTCTATTTTTAGCGAAGTCATAAAAAGTGCAATGTTCTGCTCTCCCCACATGTGATTATTTTTACACTTTTTTTTGTGCATCCCCATCTGGGCCGTACTCGCTTTATGTAATCGGATGATTCGCCCCATAAGACTCTGACTGAGAATTCCTCCCTGAATTCACAGACATGCACAAACTCTTTATCGGGAACTCTGGTCCTGAATAATGGATTCAAAACTCACTGGCTGATGTCGCGGCATTCCGGGTAGCGCATGTCGTTGTAGAACACCCCTTCAAAGAAAAAGAAAGCCGACTTGTAGTGCTCCTGGAACACGACAAAGCCTCTGCGTTACAAAAAAAAAAAAAAAAAAACGTGCGACATGAGGGAGGACTGGGGGTCGGCGAGGATGATTGGCGCTCACTTTGCTGACGAAGTCCGGTGCCATGTCAGGCGCGTTGCTGAACTCGCCGCACATTTGCAGGTCGCTGGCGCAGCAAATGGCATCCCGCAGTTCCGTCAGCCTTTGGGAGCCCATAAGCAGCAGCGTCATATGGGGTCGGACGTAGCAAAACTGCGAGGGGGACGGGCAGAATGTTGACTTTGCAGTAGTATTTTCAAAACTGGGAAACTTTGATTTTAGTCAACACTTCTTCTTCTTCTTCTTTAACTCTTTCGCGCACCCTGTAACCTGATAACACGATAGGCCGTCCACTGGCATAACCGCTGTCCCTGAAAGGGTTAACCAACATCTGTTCAAGTCCCGTGAGCTTTCATGTCGGGTTTCCCGCGCACCTTTTCGAAAGTAGCCGGATAGTAGACGTTCATGGTGAGAATGACATCTCCTTCGGAGACCATATTTTCCACGGCCTCTGGTTTCATCATGACGGCGAGCCGCTCCTGGGGGAAAAAAAAAAATTTCAAAAAATCGAACGCTATACAGCAACCGTGATGATTTGGCTCAGCGTCGGCGTCAACTCGCCTGCTCATCTGCGTAGAGGTCGTGTCTGTTTTTGCTGATTTTTAGAGAGGACTTGTAATCTTGCTTCTTTTTCCTTTCGCTGTTGAGACAAAGTCACGAGGTTGTGGATTTTGACGGGTGGCGATAGATGAAATCAAAGCGAAGGAAAATTCATACACGAGAGTTTTCAAGGTGGGGTCTTCGGGTACAACTTCCGGATCAGGCTCCTGGTCCTCCGGATGGCAACGAAGTGACGCAATGCTGTTTGATCGGTCAAATAGATAGATAAAACCAGACAGGAAAACAGAGGTCATGTCTACTTCCTGACTGTATCAAATGTCACAGAGATATATGGGATCTGACTATTTCCTAACTTCACCAAGGGCTCATCGCATTTGTCTAATTGCACCTTCCAAGGTGCTCGCTCCTTTGTTTACATGCGAGCAACTCCCACCAGAAATTCCTATGTAATTTGATGCCCGTTTTCCTAAATCACCATGGTGAAGGTGAAAAGAAAGAGAGGAAATAGGGCCCAACCAATAAATCGGATTAAATTAGCCGATTATGGCCCTTCCAATATCGCCCTTTTGGCCAATACTGTATTTGCCAATTGTTTTTCCCTGTATGTACTCTAACCATATACAGCAGTTGTGCACAAGTAACACCAGTCTCGTTATTTATTACAGATAAATATATACCATAACCTCGTATCCTAAAATACACGTGGTCAAATGTATTGTTCGGGAAAATAAATTGATGGGTAGATCGTAAAGGTGGGGACACGAGCGCTACACGCTCTTGCGCAGTAGGTGGCGCTATGCAACTAAACGTTGCTTGCAATTGGCCAATAATCGAAAGAGGATCAAGAACGTTGCAATTAAGAGAGATGAGATGAGCCCCAGGTGTGATGGAAGTTATTTCTACTTCTTGAAAGCATTGCGTGCGATGTTGGTCCCGTCCTCTTCCTGACTACACTTGATGTAAAAGGTTTATGACGACTCCTTAAGCAGGCCTGACTGGTGCTGTCATTTTCTTGACACCGCTTTTGATGCATCCGGTGCGATAAAAGGTACCTGCAGACTTCTTTGAGCTCCCGCATCATGTCCACGCTGACTCCCATCTCCTGAGCAAAGTTAGCGTGAAACGCGTCTTCGTCCTCGATACTGTAAGAGTAATCGCAAGGCTTCAGTCTACTCAGCCACTCTTTCCTGAACGAGTCTATGTGAAACTTTTTAGTATTCGCGTTGCCGAATTCGTATTCTGGGATGTTTGGATCGGGGTCCGGCGTTGGTGCTGAAGCCGCCATGTTTACTAGAAAGATGGAAGAAAATGACGCACGCTGTGAATTGTGGGTAATGTAGTATCAGTTCAGCAAAAGCTTAATTCGTTTTTTTGTAAATCTGTTTCCAGTTTGGCTGGTAATATTGCGAATATTATGAGCGGTCCAGAAGGATTCATCGTTGTTTGACCAAGCTGACTAAAATTCGGGCTTTCCGTTATTTGACCAAGCTGACTGAAATTCGATATTTTTACCCTACTCCTATAGTCGGCTCGAGTCGGGTAGTTTTATTTTGCATTTTGGATAAAGTTCTTTGTATTCCGTTTATAATACTGTATACGAGATATGATATGGAGGACTTCTGACTTAAAACGACGCCGCGCAGGGGATTGTTGGTAATGTAGGAGCATTTGAGCACACTCACTGAAGCTTCGTGCCAACAGCGGCGCTCAATGTCAGCTCATTCAAACCGCTCCCCAGTCCTCGATTTTTATGGGGGCGCATGAAATGCAAACAAATGCGTGCGTGCGTTGTTCTATTCCAACCCACCTGCACAACACTTAACTCCAGTTTGCTTTTTTTAAATTTTTAAACCCAAATAATGGAGAATGACTGCAGGGGTTGGCCCCCACGAATGGTCCTTACAGTGAAACAAATGTGTTCTACAGACATTCATTTCCTCTTTTAGCATTTTGGTTGCCCTTTTAAACATCCTGAGAGCACAATGCCAAATCCTAATTGCAATTTCACAGAACAACGCTGCCTGGATAGGATGCTTTGTAGATGGGGAAACAAACAAACAAACGGATTGTGTGTCTCCACTCACAGTGATGCTGTGTGTATGTGTGATATCAGGAGATACGAGAGTGGGCTGGCTCTAGTAACCTTAGTAAAGTATAAATGTCAAGGGACTCCCTAATGAACACATATTTTCCAAGTGGAGGTGAAGATCTACAAACGGAGCTGCAAAGAAGCTTGTCTTCATCATCGAGAGGCGTACGAGAAAAGCGTTTATTCTTTCAAATGGAGATCGAAGACTACTCCCAGCAGAAGGTTAGTGTTTGCTACTAATTGCTTTGAACGCCATTTTTTTTTTTTTTTGGTCAAAAAGTGTAGCTTTTCCATTTCTTTGCTTCTAGGTGGACAAACCCTGTTCTGGAAATGTATTGTAAGTTATCTCAATCATTTTACTGTCATTTTTTTTTATTATTTCTAAATTGTCACTACGGTACTCACCACTATACAAGCAGCAAAATTCCTTCGACGGAAACGGGCGACGTCCATTTGCAGTATGCTATCCAGCCACAACCACAAGAGGGCACCAAGTACATCATGAATCACATTTTCTTATTAAAATTCTTTCCGTTTTGACACTTGAACCTTTATTTTACTATTCCTTGTTGTAGTTTTAGTGCCACTGCATATCGGGTAATAATAATAATAATAAAGTACATGCGGCTTTAGTCACTCTGTTTTAACCTCATTACATGTTTGTACTGCTTAGACAAGTTGCCTTACTTTTGCACTTTAGTAACCTTGTCAAACTTGTCATGGTGAGTCCTGTGGTGTCATTTTTGGTACTCCCCTCAATTTCCCCTTGATTGCGTAAAATGTATGCTCCATAGGGTTTACAATGAGTTGGCTTATTTAAAACCTTCACTACTTCTTGCCCCTGATTATCTCCTCGCTTGTTTTGGCAGCGTTATGTTGTATGGTGAAGGATCGGCAAGTCAATTTGCTGCATTTTGTTCCTCGTCTTGCTGCTGACATCTTTATCAGTGAAGATTAGCGAGCTCGAAGAAGAATCCATGTAAACTTTAGCCATGCCGAGATTGTGGGTTTGGGATCACAAGCTGATGCTTTCTTTCTGCACGCCATCAAATTACTTTGGCAAAGGTTCCGCTTCGTCTCGTTGGTCCTTAAAATTTTTCCCAGAATTAACAGGCTCCTCTTTGTACTTTTCGGCGTCATTTTGTTCCTCGTCTTACTGCTGACATCTTTATCAGTGAAGATTAGCGAGCCCGAAGCTCGAAGAAGAATCCATGTAAACTTTAGCCATGCCGAGATTGTGGGTTTGGGATCACAAGCTGATGCTTTCTTTCTGCACGCCATCAAATTACTTTGGCAAAGGTTCCGCTTCGTCTCGTTGGTCCTTAAAATTTTTCCCAGAATTAACAGGCTCCTCTTTGTACTTTTCGGCAACCCGCAATGGATTTAGAGACCGCACTGCAGGAATGCTCCAGCGCCCTTGATCTCTTTCTAAACAACAGGTTTGCAGATGCCTTGGCTCTTTTAGAACCCTGGTAAGTCCCACTTGACAGTCCCCACACGTTTTCACGCCAATGCGGCCGGCCCCCCCACGATGCGATACCAGCTGTTTAATTGACCACAGGAGGAGCCAGAGCATGTACCACGCGATGGGCTACAGCAGCATGCTGGTGATGCAGGCGGGCATGACTTTTGACCCGAAGGACATGAACGCTGCTATGGAGTCGCTGAGCGACGCCCTGCTGACGTGCCAGAGGTGTGGCCGCCGCCGTTGGTCGGAAACTTGACGCTATGACACCTCACGGGATAACGTGCTTGAAATACGGCATTAAAATGTTTATTTTTTGCCTTTTCCAATTTTAGGTTTCGAAAGAAAACTGGAATTATGGAGACTCTGGTCAATCTTTGGCAAAGACAATCACCTGAAAGCCTAACAGAAGGTGACATGCCAGTAAAGTGAATTCTTTGTAACAGAAAACAGACGGTTGTACAAAAACACATGCTAGGTTTATTAAATTGTTGCTGTCGGCCTTATTTTTATTCAAAACAAAACCATCTGTTTGGGAAAGCCCATAAATCAGTTTTTTTGAAGTAAAATTAAATTTTTCCCAAATCCCGGGTTAGCTTTGCTGAAAATGAAATTGTCTTTGATCGTTCCCAAAGTACAGACCTCAGGTTCTTTGATGTTTACAAAAAACGTTAACGTACATTAGATATGTTTAAGATTCTAAATAGACTTAATTAGTTACTTACAAAAGTGCAGATTTTTGGTTTGTCTACGTTTACATGAGCACATATGATCGGTTTTATCGAAATCGTCTTTGATGTTCAAGTAAACACGTACGATCGGTTTACGGAAGTTTACGACAATCCATGTTTGGTTCTCTGAGGAGCCAACAGTATCTTTGATGTTTACGAAAACAATAGTTACACGTTGGGTCTGTTAGTTTAGTTTGTCTGTGATGTTTAATTGTTTGAACGCAAAATTGTCTTCGAGGCTCACGAGAGGTGTAAATCTTCTTTTCGCCGTTGACAAACGCGTGTGAAGTCTGTTGAACTTGATTATCTTTGATGTTTACAAAATTGCGTGCGTGAGTTTCGTTAAACTCTCAATTGTGTTGAATATTTATGAAAAACACGCATGATTGATTTGGACAACACTAAATCATCTTTTAGTCGATTGCTAATTTTGTTTGTTTTTTTTTTTAATTGCATGACAGCCTCGTTGGAGTTAAATTTTTCTTTTTGTTTCCAAAACCACATAAGTCGGTTAAACTCCTGAATGGGAGGTTGATCAAAATGTTAAATTCATTCACAAAATCCGCATTAACGAAAATGCATACATGAGGTTAGTTGAAATATGATTACATTTTTATGAAATCGCACACTCAATTGGTTGACGAATTTTCTTTGGCGTTAACAAAACCTTTATTCACGTTCTTCACGTTTTCCACGCAGAGGAGATGCACGCCGAGCTCTGCTACGCCGAAGTGCTGCTGCAGAAGGCGGCGCTCACCTTCCTCGACGAGAGCATCATCGGTTTCATCAAAGGAGGCATGAGGATCCGAAATAGCTATCAGATTTTCAAGTAAGCGGGACGCGGATGTTGGCATTTGCATGGTGACCGTTTTTTTTTTTTTTTTGTTTTTGTTTTTGTTTTAATTTCTGATTTTTGCTATGTTGTGTGTACGCGCAGGGAGTGTCAGGCCATGGTTCACGGCAATGCAGAAATGGAGACGAGCGGCACGCATATTCACTTTAAGGGCGGTGTCAGTATGGGCATCGGCTCTTTTAATCTGGTGGGAGCACTTACAAATCGACAATATGCCATTCACACGAAAACACAACGAGATATATATATATATATATATATATATATATATATATATATATAATTTATGATTTTTTTTTTTTTAAACAGATGCTATCTCTGCTACCAGCTAGAATCCTCAAACTGATGGAGTTTTTGGGTTTTTCCGGGGACAGGGTAAGTCTCCGCCGCTCAATATGTGGATATACGCATCTCATTAAAAGTTCGGAATGTTTGGCTTTTGTGTGAAATTTCAAGATGAACCTAATTTGCATCTTTATAGATGAATTTGACTTTCTCCAAACTTTTGAATGCACACATTCTTTATTTTCTTTCTTTCTTTCTTTTTTTTTTTTTTTTTTTTTAAATAAAATTCCACAGGAGTTGGGTTTGTCTGAGTTGCGAGCAGGCGCCTCCAGCGACAGTCTGCGCTCTATTCTCAGCACTTTGACACTGCTCATGTTTCATCTCTACATCTCAGTCATTCTGGGTAAAAAGCGGCCTTCGTTTGACCTCTAAATTCAAACATTATTTTTTTTTATTGAATTTTTTTCAAGCATTCTCTCCTCCACCCACAGGTTCCGGCGACGTGGACTTAACTGAGGCAGAGGCTCTGCTAGAGCCTTATGCTAAAAGGTTCCCAAATGTAAGCTGTTCAACCTTCTCTGACATCAGCAAACAGAACACCTAATGACGCACAGTGTTTAAAACTGTACTCAAAAATGACAAATTTGTCAACTCTTAAATGAGTAGCAACTTCTTCTAGTGCCTAAAATCAGTCCGATGACTGCTGTATAATCAAATTTTTATGTTCATGTTTGCGAAAACGAACACGCCGGGTGCTTTGACTAAACTGTCTTTGATTGTGAAAATTCATTTTCGGGTCAACACGTACATGAGGATCTCTGACAATGAAGTTGTCTTGATGCTTGAGAAGATTACATTTATAGAAAACTAAAAAATTTCCACTGGCGTTTTCGAAATCCTACATTAGGTACTCTGAAGACAAAAATGGCTATTTTTGTCAACCCTGAATGTGAAGTTAGCTACAGACTAAATTGTCTTTGTTGCTGTCGAAAATGCGTACATTAGGTTCTGTCAAGTCTGTCTTCAATGTTTGTTTCAAAAAAAAAAAAAAAAACATGATTTTCAACATCTTCATTTTATCCACAGGGAGCCCTCATGCTTTTCTACGTCGCAAGAATTGCCCTGCTCAAAGGAAACATCACATTTGTAAGGGATTCCCGCAGCGTTGGCGTCCTCGCGGCGCCGCTTGTTTTGCTGACCTGTCGCGTTTATCTGCCCTAGGCTCAGGAAAAGTTCCAGGCTTGCATCGCCGCTCAGCAGGAGTGGCGGCAGATTCACCACCTGTGCTATTGGGAGCTCATGTGGGCCCACTCCTTTGAACAGAATTGGCGGGAAGCGTACCATTATGCTGATCTGCTCTGCAAGGAGAGCAAATGGTCACAGGTGACTACTGAAACGTATCATTGCTTTTTGTGCTCAGAATAAGCAATACATTTTTATTTGGAATCATTTTGTGACACGTTGGTGCCAAGGAGCAATGTCGAAGTGAATTGAGGAGCTTTCCGGAGACGAAAGTAGTGCTTTGCTGTCGTCTCGTGACATTTTGATGCTTCATTTTTAACAATAGTACGTGTTGCGGCCATCTTGTTTACTTAAGACCTTGGTTGTTGTTAAAAAAATAATGTCTGTTAGGTTCATTGAAGACGAAATGGTCTTTAATTTTCATGAAAATACAACTTGAGGTTTGTTTGGACTCTAATTGTGTCCGTTGGAGACAAATTGTCTTTGGGGGTGTGCTCGAGGCTTTTTGCCATCATTTTGTTGCATTCTGTGACGATGCTAAATTGTTCTTATTCTTTGCTCATAGGCCGTCTACGTGTTCCAGAAGGCATCCATACTGAGCATGCTCCCCGAGGAAGAAGTCAAAAAAATGGGTGAAAATGTGGTGGACTTGTTCAGGTATGAAAAAAAAAAAAAAAGAGACGGCAGAATTGACCTGATCGGGATTTTTGGAGGTGATTGGCGAGTTTACTCAAACAATAACTGATTAATAGATGGTGGTCCATCTATTTAAACAACTTGTTTACTGACTGACTGACTTTATTTTGACTTTACCAACACGCCCTCAAAAAACTCAATTCTTTTAAAAACAATACCGAAAAAGAAAAACTTGAGATTATGAACGATGGCAGCACAGAACGATGGTTTGCTGTCATCTCTTAATGTTGCCGATCTGATCAATGTAGTCTTTGATCGGTCGGCAAATGATGACATGACAACCGACCACAGTTTTTTTTCGCATAAAAGCTGATCCGGTTAATCAGATGTGTGAAAATTCTGTTTTGCATCTGGACCACATGTAACAAAACGAGTGTGTTTTGCAGGGAGGTTGACGGTCTGAGGCTGAAGCTTGCCGGAAAGTCCATCCCGACTGAGAAGTTTGCCGCCAAGAAGGCTCAACGCTACGTCTCGTCCAAGCCCGTCAAACTGGTCGTCCCGGCTCTGGTCAGGACTCTTCCGTATGATTCGCTGAATGACACGCACGATATTTTGACAAATGTCGTCCGTTTTTCGGCCCGCAGGAAATGATGTACGTGTGGAACGGCTTCACCATTGTTGGCAAAAGAGCCGACTTGACGGAAAACATTTTGGCTACGTTGGACAGAGCGGAGGAGGAGCTCAAGTATAATTCAAGTGAGGAGAAAGAAAGCGGCGGTGAAGAAAGAGCTGTTTCTCCCTGAAATATAACTCCGTGTTCATCGTGCGCAGACCCGTCAGACTACCACCTGGATGACCAGTGTGTGGTTCAGTTGCTCAAGGGCTTGTGTCTGAGGCAGTTGGGACAGCTCGACCAGGCTGAGGTCTGTTTCAATCGCGTCTTATCCAGGTGAGATCTACATTGGGTTCACCCACAGCACCACGTGCCTAAATAGGCCTGAAAAATACAATAAAAGGGAAAATTGACCGCCTCTCACCCCACGTCAAACCTGTCTAGTCACAGCCATCAAGTGGAATACACATGAATCTTCATGTTAAACAACTACCAAATGTTAGGTTTTGATGGTTCCTTGATTTAATATAAATTTGACCCCTTGTCAAACCCATCTAGTCACCGGCATCATGTGGAATACACGTGAAATTTCATGTTGAATAACTATCAAATGTTAAGTTTTGATGGTTCCTTCATTTAATTTAAATTTCACCCTTTGTCACCCCACATCAGTCCCGTCTAGTCACAGCCATCAAGTGGAATACACATGAAACTTCATGTTGAAGAACTACCAAATGTTAAGTTTTAATGGTCCCTTCATTTAATTTAAGTTTGACCACCTGTCAAAGCCGTCAAGTCACACAAACATGGAGAATCCATTAAAGGAGAATCGAACAGGCCTGTTGCATGCGCTTTTGACACACAGCTCAACATGCATCAATACTAATTATAAAAACTTTTTTTTTTTTTTAAATGACGAAATGTTCAAATTGTCTCTCTGAAATGTGTCGCATGCCAAACCGGTCTGGCCACATCCACAACTTATGTAAAAATGATAATTAAGCTTTAAAAAAAGGGGGGGGGGGTGTTTTTTCGGTCATGTCAGACCCATAGAGTCACATCGTGGATATTCCAATAAGACAAGCCCAATATGTAAGAATAATGAAACATTTCTAAAAACAAAACCAATGCCTGTCTAGTCACATCCATTTTATACCATACTGTAACAACGTCGGTTCCTGTTTCATAATGTACGGTCACTGGCTAGACGGGGGTGGGGGGGTGGGACGAGGGGGTGACTGCATTCGGCTCTTGTATTTCCTCATAAAATTAAAAGTTCAACGCTGTGACGCTCATTCCGATGTCTAATTGCTGTTTCGTCCCAGCGAAAGCGACCTGAAGCACAGCAACTACCTGGTGCCGTTTACCATGTACGAGATGGGCCTGCTGCACAAACAGAGGGGTGACATCGAAAAGGCCATCTGTGTGCTTGAAAGTGCCAAGTAAGTATGCAAAAAAAAAAAATACAAAATGTCCAATTTCATTTTTCCTGGAAGAAAAGTGCTCAAACAAGGCACTGCGACTTGCAGGATGGACTACAAAGAATACAGCATGGAGTCGCGGCTACACTTCCGCATCCACGCCGTGCTCAAGAGCATGGGCTCCTTTGCGGCCAAGATGCCGCTTTCCCAGATGCCGGCGTGAGCGCTTCCATGATTACGTTCTTCTATGAGCGCTCCTCCGGCCTCATGATTCCAACCGGATTTCCAGGACATTTTACTACGCAGCTTTGCACCGTAAATGTGTCACCCTGTGGCTTCTGTAATTTTGTATTTATTCTGTAGAAGCATATATATACAGCATTGTTACATATGTGCTTTTTTCCCCACTTTTTATGTGGAGCATGTCTGTCTGTGCATAGGTGCTAAAATATTGTCGCCACCTGTTGAGAGTGGGCAGGGCCGTTTCTTCACTCAACTGCAGATGGGGCAGGTCCTTTATTGATGCTTGGGAATATTCTCATTCATCAAGGTATGGATGTTTATTCATACGCATTTTGGGAATATCTTTAAAAAAAACGCAGTCTCCAGATAATGTTGAAGTTACATGAGCTAAGAGGCAGGCTTCTCGAGGTGCTACTTTTTTGGTGAGCGAAGCTGTTCAAATGGGCTCAGCAGTTAAATACTGTGTGGGGCAAGATACATGGTACCTCTGAAATGTAATTTTTCATCAGTTGCATCCTGTTTACTGTCCTGGTGGGAAAAGTGAGGCATCTATTTGGGGAAAGGTGTTTGTTAAATTTGGGGTTGGGGGTAGCACTATTTGAGGAAAAAGTTGTACTCTCGTCCTTGTGGATGTGATGTCTTGTAAATAGCTGATTGTCCATTTTTTTCCCTCAAGATGAAATCATCTTGAGTAGCAGATGTGCTGAATAAACCTTAACAAATGAATAGAATTGTGTGGTAATGTTTTTTTTTTTTTTTTTTTTTTAGGGCTATGGTGATGTTTTCGTTCAGTGTCAAGCCTTTTTTTTTCTCCCCCATCTTCCTCCAAATTCAAGCAAATAAGAATCTGGATGCAGAACAATGAGTGTTTCTAAACCTTCAACAAGCCCATGCACATATTTTGTATTTAAAAACGTTCATGGCATACTGCCACCAAACAACAAAAAAATTTGACAACGCGTACTGCATCCATTATATTAACAGATTACACAGGTCAATTGCACTTTTTGCAGTCTACTAAAGTGGAAACACAAAGAACAAGTATTCAGATCATGTAGACATTTTTAATACAGAAATACAGTAGTATACAACTTATCTAAAAGGCAAACAAGGCATATTAAGATGAAATACAAACGATACTGTATAAACCCAGACAACTTTATTCAATTTTCAGTGATGTTTTCACGGAATTTTGTTTTGGACAACTAAACAATATAAATAAACAATTGTTCATATTTACAAAAAAATTACCTCAACAGAAGATATTTTAGCAAAGTTCTATTTTTATAGATCCAAATTTAGGCATGAGAAACTGTTTTTAATTGAGACTTTTAATCGATCATTCACAACTACTGTACACGATTATTAAAAAGAATTATGCGAGTTTTTTTTCCGCTGCCATGACGTGTCAATAAGATATGAGTCACGTGGTGTATCACGTGACCACCCAGGAAAGGACGAGGGAGGAGGGATGAGGAAAGAAGATGGAAGGGAACCGAGACGAGGCTGAGAAATGTATCAACATTGCGTCGAAAGCCATCGAGGCGGGGGACAAGGAGAAGGCGCTTAAGTTCCTCCACAAAGCGGAGAGGCTCTACCCGACAGCGCGAGCCAAAGGTAAGGCGATTTCCGGCTAGCCGAGCCTCCGGCTCGAAGGGGGGGTCCATCGGGGATGACAACCGAGCCGGCCAGAGCGATACAGACCGACTGTATTACCTCATTTAAATATATCGCACACATTTCATGAGCATAACGCCATAACGGTTGAAAGGCAGTGTGTTGATAATAAATAAAGTCACCAAGAAGTTAAGGTTTGTTAAAAGCTACTAGTGAGCTTGTACGCTAATATACTAAGCTCCGCTGTTTAGGGGCTGTGCGTGTTGTCGGATCAAACTAGAGTGTTGTTCATAACGGTCGTGAATATATTCACATTCTCGCCGCAAGACATACTGTGTTTATTTGGCGTAGTTTTGAACGACAGCAACATCTTGGGCTCACTTGAACTCTTACAAAGCGTCACTGACACTGCTCTGTCAGAATTGTCGGCGCTGTGACGTCATAAACATGCGGCCGCACGGCCAAGTAAATTAGCTAACTCTTAATTTGAACGCAAATTTACCGAAGCAACGAGATAGTCCAAATGTATTGTACCTAAAAGGTAAGTAAAATATGTATATATATATATATATATATATATATATAATATATAAGTTTCAAAGAAATCTTAAAGACTAAATGCATAACCTTTGAAGTTATAAATTAAATACAACTGAACTGTACTCTGCCAGTCAAGGATTCGTGTACCGGTAGAGGGAGCCCGTGTAGCACTTGGGAGACTCGTACAACATTGGAATCACTGCTAAACATCAATGTGATGTTGTCCACTTATTTTTCTTATCACAGCCTTGTTGGAAGTGCTAACCAAAAATGGGAGTTCTACAGCTAATGGCGCGCATCGGAGACGGCCAGCACACAATGCGGAAGATGGCGGCGCGGAGGCGGCGAGCGAACGTGCCGAAGGTACAGGAGCAGGATCCTCCAAGGTGTTCACGAAAGAACAGGTGGAAGGTGTCCAAAGGTGAGAATACCGGCTTAAAATGTTAACAGTGGTACTTGTTAATGTTCATCTTGAGACATCCATTAATCCATTTTCTTTGGAAATGTCTGTGAGGATGTTGACTTTTTATTCTGAGCCCTAAACAAATGATGCAGCATTTTTCTGCCTTAGCCTTTTATGCAAAAAATAGTGTATTTCCGCAACGGTGTGCATTTTTGTATAGCGGCAAGGCATCTCATAGTCAGAACTTTTTGATGTCAGCTCCATTGCTTTGAGCACAACAGGGTGGGAAAATGTCTTTGACAGATGTTGGAAAAAAAAAAATCACAAATGGGCCATAGAAGTTTTGTATGAATAGGCGCAGGCAGTTTCACCTATCCGGAAGTGTGCATTGACAGGGAGCTAATTTCAAAATCAATAATCTTAGTTCACGATTATTTGTTCAGCCCGAGCATGTATCTTTTAACACTTGCCCTTGTTTTCTTCCTGTTAGAATAAAGCGCTGTAAAGACTACTACGAAGTGCTCGGTGTCACCAAAGAAGCCAGCGAGGATGAGCTGAAGAAGGCGTACAGGAAACTGGCCCTCAAGTTTCACCCAGACAAAAACCACGCTCCCGGAGCAACGGATGCCTTTAAGAGTACGTCTCCTTGACGTCACTTTCTATTCAAGAAAAGTACTCTGAAACTAATAGTAACTCTATGTCGCCCGCCAGAGATCGGTAATGCATACGCAGTGCTAAGCAATCCGGCTAAACGGCGGCAGTATGACCTGACGGGAGGCGAAGAGCCAAGTGGGGCGGGCCACGCGCACGGCGGCGGCAACGGCTTTGACTTCCACAGAGGGTTCGAGGCAGACATCACGCCTGAAGACCTCTTCAACATGTTCTTTGGAGGAGGCTTCCCCTCCTGTGAGTTACACCCACACACATACATATTGTGGAAATTAGGGCCGCAACTAACGATTATTTCAATGATTCATTAATCAGTCATTTATTTTGTCGGGTTGAAAAAAAAAAAGGTTTCCATCCCCGCATTCAAAAACATGACATGATTTCAGTCTGACAGTGCAGAAGATGCATAAACAAGTTATATTATGATTCAGTTACTGGTTTGGTCCGTAACACGTCAGAAAATTGTCAAATATGTTGATCATTGATTTCCAAAGTGAAAGCAGATGTTTGTGAATGTCTTATTTTGAAAAAACAAATACACAAAGCTAAGCAGTTTGCTATCATGGATGACGACAGAATATTTACTATTCACAGGCTAAAATTCCAAGGATCTGGATGATTTTAAATTAAACAAGGCCTCCAAATGATTAATCAATTGTCAAAATATTGATCTATTCATTTCATAATCTGTTGATTGTCGATTAATCCATGTGTTGTTGCACCTCTAGTTTCAGTCTTTTGAGCACTTGGCTTCACAGCAACATTGAAAGAAAATTCGAGAAAGTGTCTGGAAAAATAGATTTGGGCATTTAATTAGTTTTAAATAAGTTAGGAACTGAACTTTCTCTTCTCTCCGTCTCCTTCTCAGCAAGCGCGCAGCCGTTCGCCAACGGCAGGACGAGCTACAGCCATCACGGCAATTACCGACAGGAGAGAACCGATGAAAGAGGAGACGTATGTGCCGTGGTGTCGTGACGGGACATTGCCACTGTGTGTTTGAGTGCGCGTGTCGATGAAGCTTTGTTTCTCTCCAGGGTGGTTTCTCCATGTTGATTCAGCTGATGCCCATCGTGGTGTTAGTCTTGGTGTCGATACTGAGCCAGATGATGGTTTCTCCACCTCCTTACAGCCTCTACTCTCGACCGTAAGTGCTAAAAAAGTTTCAACAACATGGAAATTCTTGAATGAATTACCACTGCAACGCTATGCTCAGTTTGAACATTTAATTTTGTGATTCCTTTACCTACCGCTAGAGGGAGCCCACATACCACGAGTGTCACCACATTTTTTGGAACAGTTCTCCAAATCAGAATTTAAAAAAGAGATTGAAACATTGGATGTTTAAACAGCAAATTCTTCAACCAAACAATATAATTTGGCCTTATCCTCACATTTAATGTGAAACACTAGTGATGGGCTAACAGATATTAACATACCAGTATATGTCCGGTGATTATAAACCTTCAAACAACTGCTACTTTGACACACAACAGTAGCAAAACAAACAAATCGAGCATGCAATCAAATAAAATTAAACATTGTGTATGCAAACCAAACTACATAATTTTGTCGAACTAAAGTTTGTTAGCATCATGCTAACATATAATGTGAAACTATAGACAGGCTAATGGAAAATAGCATAGATATTCGGATCTGTAAGTTTTTTTTTTTTTTTTAACAGCTGCTATTTTTAACACATGGAGCATTATACATACAAATGGAGCATGCAGCAAAAGAGAATTAAACTGTATATTTCGAGACCAAAATGTTCAGCCAAACCAATTTCGTGTACCAAATGTCTGCTAGCTTAATGCGAACAACGCTAAATGCCATCAAGTAGCTCATCTCAATTAGCCAATGTTCCTCTAATTATAATGCCACACATTCTCCCCAGGTCCACGGGTCAGACGGTGAAGCGGCAGACGGAAAACTTGCACGTGGACTACTACGTCACCAGAGACTTCAAATCTGAGTACAAGGCAGCAGCACTGCAGCAGATTGAGAAAAGTGTGGAGGGAGACTATGTGTCCAATGTCAGGAATAACTGCTGGAAGGAGAGACAGACAAGTAAGAGGCAACTTTTGATGATAATTTGTGCCTTCATATTAAACAATTAAAAATTGCATTATATTTGTGATTATTACATGGATTAAATATAATTAATGTTATTTTTCATACTGTCATATCAACTACACTGAATTAATTGTCTCCCCCACAGAAACAGACCTGCTGTATGCCGCCAAGGTGTACCGGGACGACCGCATGCGCAAGAAGGCGGAGCTTATGACCATGGAAAACTGCAAAGAGCTGGACAGACTAAATAACCTCTTTCGAGGCGGATGACTCGCTTGTTAGATGTTATCATGTATACCAATAGATGTGTCTATGTTCTTTTTTTTCTTTTTTTTAAGAAGAGCATTTCCACTAGGAGTAACACAAGAAAAACCCTACTGAAAATAAAGAGTACTCCAAGTTCACCTCACTCTTCCATCCAAAACAAAACTCTCGACATTCCGGAGGAGCGCTCTTCTGCAAGAGGGATTAAAAAAAAAAAAAAAAAGTAGTGAGCACATCTACGTCCCTGTCGTGAACACCACCAATCAGCTTCCAGCATGAAATCAATATCCATGTGGGAAAAGGATGGAAACGTCACCAGTGGAAGGAAGAAAATTTGAGTTGCTGTTGGACGTTGGTGCTTTCATACAAGATGTTCGTTTTTGAGAATATTGGACGTTTATGCAGTTATTTAAGCAACTACAGAAGAAAGTGATTTTCTTCCACGCTCGCTTGTCAATAAAATAAAGTAACATTATTAAGAACTGGAGGGTTTTGTCTCTGTTTAGGAGGATGGGTGTGCAATGTAAAAAATATTTGAATTACTGAAATCATTAGTCTATCCTACAATAGTTGCCTGAGTCATATATAGATGGTTTTGAAAAACAATGAGCCTAATAGGCTAAAAATATGAAGATTTTTTACATTTCATCATGTAACAAGAACAGGTGCATGGGAGACTATTGAAAAACAATGAGCCTTTTTTTTTGCAGACAAATAGCTCTTTTCTTTGCTGTTTTTTTTTTTTAAATGTAACCAAACTTGTGTTTTCTACCAGAGCTGTTGAGGCAGATATCGTAATTCTCTGTATTATTTTGTTTGGTTTATAAAGCTTAATGAAGGAAGCAATGGGCAATCTAATTTTGATTAGTCAGTCTATTTTTTATGCCCTTCCACCAGATGGCAGAAATCCCGTACTCAACCTGTTTTATCCACCTTTTTTGAAACGTTGTTTGGCGGTGTTTCGTAAGTTATTTCCAATGTAGAATATGTGCCTTGGCTCAATAAAAGTTGCGAAACTACGGAAGCAACAGATTTTTTTTTTATTTAACAAATTGTAGGGCCCATTCGGAAACACCACACAGGGGGAAAAAAGAACAATAACAACCAAAGAGCAAATTAAAAAAAAAATAAAAAGAATATGCCAGGGTCTTAAATAAAAACCAATAATTATTGAAAACATTAGAATGAAAAAAAAACCGCACTACATAACAACTCTTAGGCACCGTGCTAATTCCGTCACACAAGGAAACGTAACAGCTTCCGCAAATGTCTGATTGGTTTATTCCGACGGTGCTTTCAATTTAACTCGGAAATACAAAAGCTCCACCGTCGACTCGGCCTAAAAAGGGCATTGAAACGCCAATCAGGGTTGACCAAAATTTCAACAACACCAAGCAAACACAAGATTAAGAAAAATATAACGACAAACAATCCAACATTATTGGACGGTTTTGTGGTGGAAAGGTGTGATAATCCTAATACAATGGAATGCAGCATACGTCACGTGACTGCCCGGAAATGAAAAGCTTCACCGAGAAAATGAAAACACAATTGAAAATGCCGACAAGACGACGTGTACAGCATTAACGCTATCTCACAATCGGCTCTTATTTATAATCTAGCGGGTCATGCTCACGATAAACCATGTTGTTTTCGTCCTGGTTGTATGCGCGGCTTCCGTATCTTGCTGTGAACAGAAAGCGGAGACTCCTGACTGGCGAATGACTCTGAAAACTATCCGCAATGGCATCCATAAGATCGACACTTACCTCAACGCGGCTCTCGATTTGTTCGGCGGCGACGACGGCTTGTGTCGTTACAAGTGTAGTGACGGTAAAGCAGATTGTCAAAATCACTGATGATGTTTTACAATTGTATTGTTGGCTCATCTTTAAAAACACAACGCCAATCTGTGACACTCCTGCAGTCTGTGTCTTTTGAACAAAGTGTCGATGTCCTGTTTTTATTTTTTTCCGTCGTATTTTCATATGAGGTGGGAAAAAAAGTCAAGGGTGGGTCGTAAAGTAAGGAATGCAATTGAAAGTGCAGATATCTGTTTTCAATTGTAGGGAGTTAAAGTACAAAAGCGTCGGGAAAATAAATAATCATCACCTGCTTTCTCTTGGACAGCAGCCAGGAACGGAGGTGCATTTTGTTAATTACCTTCGGGCTTTTCGGTCTAAAGCAGCCTAAATACATTGTCGTGTTAATATTTCCGCTGTCCCTTGAATATGCTGCGGATGTGTTCATCAGACACAGAGAGGTAACAGTGGTAGCCGGTTCACCTTTGCTCTCCTCTCTCAGGTTACAGGCCGGTGCCTCGTCCCGGGTACAAGCCGGCGCCGCCCAACGGATGCGGGACGCTGCTCTTTGGATTCCAGGTAACGCTATTTGAATTTGTATGAAAGGCCACTTTCATAAAGGCACTGAGAAAGTGGCTGCAGCTCTTGGTGGAAACTTAAATGGTTGTCTGTTTTCCCCCTCATTCTGTGTTGATGCTGTGTACAGTAGTAGTGACAAAAGAAAATCCCTCCTTTTGGAGGCCAAGTGAAAATTCCTCATGTCAGTGTTTCTTTTAAAAAATGGAGACGGCGTGAAAGTATCTTGTCTTTCCAGTTCGACATCGGTATCCCATCCATGACAAAATGCTGCAACCAGCACGACCGCTGCTACGACACCTGCGGCCTTGAGAAGCATGACTGCGATGAGCAGTTCCAGGACTGTCTGGAGACCATTTGCAGGAACGTGCAACGGACACTGGGATTGGGCCACAGTGTTCAAGGTAAAAGATCCAAATGCAGGGAGGTGGGGATCACAGTGCCTGATGATCATGGATGTGTACAGACATTTTAGGGGTCAGGTGCTCAAATGAGGGGAAAAAGGCAAGGCAGCTTTATTCATATAGCACATCTCAGTGTGTTTGATTTTTGTATGAATATTTGTGCACTCAGTCTGTCCTTTTGTTTGTTTATTTATTTATTTATTGCCCAGCGTGCGAGTCTGCGGTGACGCTGCTGTTCGACGCCGTGATGCACTTGGGATGCAAACCATACTTGGACAGCCAGCGAGGGTCGTGCGTGTGTCAGTATGAAGTCAAGAAGGAACTGTGATCATGTTTGTGGATGGGCTTTTGATTTGATGACAACAGAGGGTCCACAAAGTAGACATTTCTCAGGGATAGAGCTGCTGCTGCTGTTGTTCGTTTAGACACCAGACTGCATGAATACTTTTGACTGATGATCCTGGAAACAATTTGAAATGCATTCAATTATTTATGTTGTTTGTATGTGTTGTTCAGTACGTTGGTCCGCTGGTGGCTTTTGGGGTAAAGTGGGGTCCACACATACTGATAAAAGGGCTGATTTGGAGCAGTTTTTTCTTTCCCCTGCTTTCCAATTCTGGTCAGCAAAGGACTTGATTGTCAGACGTCTCCAAAAGATTACCTTGGAGTGTGCCAAGAGTTAATTTTCTGCCCAATTGACACAGAAAAAATGTCTAAGGTGACATTCGTAAATGATAAAGCTGTTCACTATTCATGCTATTTTTTTTTTTTTGTCAAATCCTTGTTTGCTCAACACAGAATTTGGCCAAGCAAAGAGACTTGGGAACTGTGACGTGAACTAAACGCTCCCTAATTGCCACAAGTTCTTTTTTTTCATTGCACTATGCTGCCTTTCACAGGTCGTCCTGGTACTTTCACAGCTACCATATGTGGTGTGTAGGAGTAGTCACACTATTTGAGCACTAAGCGTGGATTTGTTTTTTGTTTTTTTCCTCGTCTCACATTTTAAAAATTTGTTGAGATGTTTAAAATCCCAGTGTGTACCTTGCTTTAGATAGGTGGAATCCAGTCTGAAAAACCTCATTAAAATGAAAATAATTTATTAATTACTTTGTTTGGCCTCTTTCATTTGCAAACTGTTTTTGCGTATTTTAATTAATTTATTTTTTTACAGATGACTTGGGATGTCTCCGTACTCTACCAAGAGAAAGTGACAAAAGTTTTACACGCTGTATGGTCTCTTGTCACTGATTACACCCACAGTGTGGCTAATATTATGAAAATAATTAACTACAGTCGGGTGCATTACGTTTATTCCAAGCCCTACATGCATCGGTGGCAGAACCTGCCAAACAAGATGCACAAGGATTTACAATTTAAACAACTTCACATTCAAAGACACATGGTAAATGTGAGTCTTGCGCAACTAAACACTCAACCCTGAGGGAGGACTGATTCAAGTGTCAAAAATTGGGAGGAAGAACGCAAGGGCACTTTGGGAAACAAAGAAGCCAAAGAGCTGCAGAGAAGGCGAGTGAGCGGCAAGTGATAGAAGGAAAGATCAGGGGCGGAGCCACACCTGGCGAATGACACGATATTTGTGTCAGTGTGCTTTTCGGATTTTATTTTCATAAATAGGCCATCAATTGAGGTATGCAAAACAGTTTCGGCCGAACATAACAGTTGTTCACTTGGATTGGCTGTTAGCTCGAAAATTATTGTATTGAGATCGAAGTAGACTATTAGAACGGTTCACAAAATATCTAGTAATCTCAGGAAAATTTTGCTTTTTACATACACTTTATGATGATCTGAGTGTGTTGAGCAAGTACTGGATAGGTGTGCATTTTATTGCATGAAACCCGGAACTGTTGATGGTCTGACGAACAATGACGTCTCAGGTGCTCATGAAAACATGATCGCGCAACTGGGCGAACGCGTATGGCCACTCACGAAATGTTGTCACAGCCTGGCGACTGCAAAGCAAAAAAAAAAATCCCTCCACCTTTGAGAAAGATACAAAGAAAAAGGTTAAAGAGGACACGAGTGGAGGAAACAATCATACAAGGAGAAGAGGATGTGAAGGAGAACGAACAGGAGACAGCAAAAGAAGCATTAATAGGATGAAGTCAATGGGATGGAGAAAGACGGAGAAAAATGAGAAAAAACAAGGAAAATATATTTTTAAAGAAACAAAGCGAAAGGTTTACGACGACACAAGAAGAAAGAGTCGACAAGTAAACGAGTCTCGGGGCTACTGAATCGTCGACTAAATTTTAGTGATTTATCAAATTTCGAACTTTGATTTGGGGTGTAGCGCGGAAGCACCCCCTTTGATTGGCAGCTCGTGTGGGCCAATCGTCTCCCATCTCTTGACCAATGAGCGCAGAGGAGGGCGGGGCTGATTGAAGTATCTGTGAGGAGTTGGCGAACTGTTGTCCGGGGGAAGGTGGAGTAAAACAGCAAAGGGAAAGGACTGCCGTCCAGGTAAAACAACATTTACGTCTGTGTGATATATATTTACATGTATATAAATATGCCTATATGTGTTATAATAATGTATGTGTAGGGGAAGAGATCCGAATGTTTCTTCTAAGTAAAAGTTTAAATAGTTGTCGTCAGTTGCTCAAGGATACAATTACTTGGTAGCTGTCACGCCATTTTCTCATAAAACTGTTATGAGGACGCCCGGCAGCATTTCAACTGTACTTTTATTAAATGTTCGATTTCTTTCTTTCCTGACTTCTTTTCTTCAAGCAGCGAGCGTTACCATGATGCACCACACGACCGTCACAGACAGGACGAGTAAGTGGTTGACAACACCTTTTTGTTGAGAAAAAAAAACCCAATTATTCGGGGGGATGTTAGATTAAAGTATTATTTGGTTCAATAGAAAATAATGCAAAAAAAAAAAATAGAAAACGAACAATTATTCGGGGGGGATGTTAGATAAAAGTATTATTTGGTTCAATAGAAAAGAATGCAAAAAAATAGAAAACGAAACAAAGAAGTGTCATGTCAGGGTTAATCATTGCCTCAACAAGCCCTGACTGTTTACAGCTTGGAAATCGTTCAGGTTAATTCACATACAAAGCATTTTCATATTCACGTTGTCGTTTGTTATGAATCAATATACAGTAATTATATTTTGTAATAAAATATGACATAGGTTAAGATGATTTTTGCCTTGTTCTGTCAACTAATGGGTAGATGTCCACGCCTTACATATGTGAATCCTTGCAGAGAATAATAACATTATTAATAATAATAATTTTTAAAAATAACAATAGGGACCTTGCAGTGGTTGCCGCTCGGGCTCTAAAAAAGCCTAAATGCCACATGTTTGTGTTTACGTGTCATTTCAGCTCTGTACGTCCAGAATCTAATGGAGACGGATGCCTTCAATAGGTATGCTCGTACATTTTCAAGAAAGCTTCCGTTAGTTTCCGCCTTTAATATTCAGTGTTCCGTGATCACACACAGAGATAATTTTTTGGACCCTGCTGAGGAGTACAAGATGGACTACAAACGACGAGGCCAGGCACTCATTTTTAACCAGGAGCGCTTCTTCTGGCGCCTTGGCATGAACGACCGACACGGCACAAACACTGACCGTTACAATCTGGAGATCAGGTATAGTCCATCTCCCTACACGGCAAATGTTTTTTGTTTGCAATGCGTTGCTTTTTCTCTTTCAGGCTGAAGGCGCTCAACTTTGATGTAAAAGTTTACGACAACTACAAAAACGAGGAAGTCCTGGAGATAATCCATAAAGGTGGTCACCTAAAACTCGGTTTCTTTTAGTTATGTCTGCTTGTTATAGCAGCATTACTTTATAAGGAGTTGTACAAGAACCCCAACGGATGTATCACAGTAAAGCCAATCGAGTCTTTGATGAACCTAATGGACAAGTTTTCATAAACATCACAATTTACGCAAACATAAAAACTAATTTAGGGCCGACCAAAAATAATTTTGAGTATTCAAGTAATCTAACACCAGCCAAAAACAAACAACAAAAAAAAATGTCAGACCCTCATTAGAGTCTTTGCTGAAACAATGGAATGTATTCAAAGTTGACGTTTCTATTAACACTGAAGACTGTTTTGAGCCTTTGAATGACCTGATGCATTTGTTTTATAAAACAATATCAATTCGTATGCTATGTTTACACGAGTGGGGGTACGTAGAGAATATTGTAAAGACAATTTTTGACTTGCCTTCCCCTTTAAATCTTCGTATGAATGCAGCTTATGCCTTTTTGTAAATATCAACAATTTAGAGCCTTTGATAAATCTACTGTACAAGGGGCTGGGTCCCTCTGGAAGGTGCTAATCCAAATTAGGATTTTTTGTCCTTAGCAGAAGTCGGCGCTCAACTAACGTTTGTTTTCTCTATTGGTCCACCTCTTGTCCGACTAGCCGCTGAGGATAATCACTCGGATGCAGATTGTTTTGTGCTCATTTTCCTGAGCCACGGCGAGGACGAGCACGTGTACACCTACGATGGCAAGATCAGCATCCAGCACATCACGTCGCTCTTCAAAGGCAACAAGTGCCAAAGCCTGGTCGGGAAGCCCAAGATCTTTGTGTTGCAGGTACGCACCCGACTGGTCACAGGCGCAATATCGCTCGGATAGATGAAAATGAAAATGTTTGCACAACGGCAGGCGTGTCGCGGAGACAAACACGACGACCCTGTGGTGCCGTATGACGCTGTGGACAGCGAGCTGAGTACCGGCGGGGTGGTGGTTGACGCCAGCGCTGTTCATACGCTTCCGGCCGGAGCGGATTTCATCATGTGCTACTCGGTGGCGGAAGGTGAGTAGCTAAACCTAGAAATTACACCCCCCACCCCCCGCCCCCATCTTTGTTTTGACAAATTTGATAAATCGTGGTTCAATTTAGAATAAATGTTGCAACTAATTGTTTTGGGGGCTTCAAAAGTAGCCTCTTAAATTAGGCTTTTTGTGTAGGGGTTGGTAAAGTAGAGTTGTGGTGTGGATCCTCACAAACTAAGGCCTCTGTTGAAGGTGTCCAAGTTTGGAATTTAAAATTGAGTTTAAATATTTGTGGAGGAGTGGTGTAAGGAGAGCAGTGGTGTATACCCGTCCAAAAAGTGGAAAAGGTCACTTTTAATCTGAGACTTCCACGAGAATCTTTGGCTACAAACTGAACAGGAAAAAGGTTTCCCACCAGTGTGTGTTCGTGAGTGTACTTTTAAGCTTTGTTTCTGTGAGAATCTTTGGCCACAATTTGAACAGGCAAAAGGTTTCTCACCAGTGTGAGTTCTTGCGTGCTTTTTTAATGCACCCGATGAAGAATGCCACTGGGACGAAAGCAAGACAAGGATAATAGTAAAGGGGGGAGGGGGCACGTCTGAAGGACTGTTTAAATTGGGACAACTTCCTCCTGGATTGATGTCATGTTTTTGTGGAGGGTTGTGGCAAGACCGGTCACGGTGTATACACCCTTAAAGATTGGGAAAAGACGGCTATCTTTGAAGGAATCTTTGTGTTTGGACAGACTTTGGATAGTCCTTGACCGTCAAATCAAGCCTTGGAAGAGTGCAGCTGTGACGAAAAGGTGTTGAGCGTTGTATTCTCCACCAAAATGGGAAAAGAAGGCCACATTTCACGGAGTTGGGGTTGGAAGAGCTTTCCCGCTAGGTTATGATGTCTTTGCCCCCCAAATACAACCTCTAAGGAATATAGCCCCCTCAAGTTGGAAGACATTTTTGTGGAGTGGCTCGGGCAGGGATACTAGAGCCCTTAAAAAACAACAAAAAAAAACCCCAAAAAAACAAAATAGGTTAATCAGTCCACATTTGAAGGCATTTGTATAACCGCCATGTCCACGGCATCTCACTCAAGGTTACTACTCGCACCGGGATACGATGAACGGTTCGTGGTACATCCAGGACCTGTGCGAGCTGCTGAGGAAGTACGGCGACTCTCTGGAATTCACCGAACTCCTGACGCTGGTTAACCGCACGGTGTCGGCGAGGAGCGTTTTGTCAAGCAAGGACAGGGAGTCCATAGGCAAGAAGCAGGTGCCCTGCTTCGCCTCCATGCTCACCAAGAAGCTCTACTTCCGCCCCAAAAAGTAAAACCTCCCGCCACTTTTGCGTCCATCCTAAAACGGCTTGACAATCACAGGAAAGATTCCGGTTTTCTCCGACATTCCCTTTGGCTTAATTACTCTCATTTTCTGATTCTGTTGCTTGCATTAAAGTAAATACGACAGTTGAGCTCAAGATTTCCGGAAAGGGCGTAGCCTGGCTTGTCAGAACTTTTGCTGAGTCAATGGACCTGCATTACTCACAGAGTTCACCAGTTCAGTTAGCATCGCACCTTTTGGAGTCTTGAGGGTCAACCGTCGCTTATTTTTTTGGGAAATATGCTGTCCAGTTTCCTACACAGTGCATTATGGCTCCCCCAACCTCGAAAGCTACAGCCATGACAAACAGCGACACATTATCCAGGAACTCAAAATAAGCCCGCTCACAAACCAGGAGGTGATCAAATACTGCATGAGAAAAAAAAATATATATTTTTGCTTCACAAATTAATTTCGTGAAAAGTGCTCAAGTCATGTGGGAACCCTCCTTCCGCTCCAGAATAAAATTCGTCATTATCCGTGAACCAGAAAGTAGCCTGCGGACAATTGTGCCCATATATTTAAAAAAAAAAACACACACACACCCCAATTTATTTGGTTTCAGGAAATGTTCTTTTTCGGTGCTTAGGTCATGAGGAAAACCTTCCCCTTTCGTTCCATTCATCGAAATACGGTACGGTTTATTTATTTGTAGCCTGCTAAGTAACAAACACGGCACCCAATAATTTTGACTCTTTTTAGCATAGCCCGTCAGCTCTGTGCAATGACAATGATTCTAATTGTTATGACAGCCTTGAACACGCCCTCTTCTTTATCTAAACTTTACCAATTGGATATCAGGTGTCCCTGTTCGGGTTATTTTACCTTTTATTGGTGACAAAGTGCATCTTAACTTAAACTTTACAGTGAATCACTTTTTATGACTTTCTTCAATATGCTGTCCCCCCCCCAAAAAAAAGGGAACTTATGTATTTGCGTGTGTGTTTGTATTCGTCTTTCAAGTTGTGTCAGTGGTCAAACTTGTCTTCAAAATGTGCTTTTTTTTTTTTTTTTTGCACCCTAAACCACATCTGACACGAATGATGACTGTACCTCAGGGAGTATGGGTGCGCGCATTAAAAAAAAAAAAAACAGTCACAATGCACTGTATGACTCAGGAAGAACAGAGCAACTCGCAAATTCCGATCCCGTTTTAGTCATCTGCACGTGACAAACGGATTCAGCAAATGAGTTTATTTCAATTTTCCAGTTTGTTTGTATCCGTCCCGCCCCTCCCCCTCGCCCCATCCAAATACAACAGTCATCAATATTTCTGATTAAAAATGCAGCATTATGAAAATAAACCTGAAGTGTTTTTCTTTTTTGCGCTGTGATGACATCATGGCTTGGCCTGGATCTGTTCGATGGGGAGTTGAAGCTGCGTTGGATTGCGCAAGCGCTTGAGGTCATCCTCCACCTGGAACATGTGGAGTTTATCGTGAATACAGACAAATATTTCATTTGCCAAATTAATTTGTATACAGTACATTAAAAATGACCTGGTTTGATACAAATACTTTTAGAAACTTGTTAGTAGCGACGTTGAACAACACTTTCCTGGACTTTAGAGACAATCAAGCGTCTGATAAATTTCCATTGGTGCACGGGGCTGTTACGATTGAGCCTCGCAAATTTTGTCCGGAAAAATCGTATGTTCCTGCTTGCTAACGAAATGCTTACCTTTGCTTGAATTATTTATTTGCACGACACTGTCTGCCTTTTAGTTGTGTGATTTCCCCCCTCAAAAATATTCAAGGTTAAATTCTAAATTGTACTTCAAGCCTTTCTTTTATGTAACCAAGCCTAAGTGGTTGGTGCCGAAATAAAAACAGCAAATTATGAAACAATAGGGTACGGTCAAATACAAGACGAAAGCAGAATACGGCGAGGAAAAAAATAAAATAAAATTAGCATCTAGCATACAAGACCTAGCTTTGCGCTGCGTCTTGTTCCACTGCATGTCTGCGCTTGTCGCGACGACAACACACCTGAGCCAACTCATCTTTGAGTTTGTTGTACTTTTCCACATTGAACTCCTTCTTGCTCGCCCCCTTGTAGAAGTAATGCAGGAATTGTCTGTCCTTTGCATCGGGGTAAACATAATCCTGGAAAAAGGAAACAATACATGGAGGAAAAAATGACCAAACAATCGAGTGCGCGGGATGGAATTTTGGCTTGCTTGCCTTCTTTGTGAGGACGAAGTATGCGAAGGCCCCCATGCTGGTGGCATAGGTGACAAAATAGGTGACGGGCTCCATGACGTCCCACGAGTACACCCACCATGTGAGCCAGGCCAGGGCGCCGCCCTGCACGGACAAAAGCGCCAAACCCGTCCAAATCGCCCTGGATGTATGGACCTCGGCAGTTTGAGACAGCTGTGCCTTCATCTGGCCACGTGGCAGATGAGCATCGGGATGCGGTGACATTCAGAGCGAGAGAGAAAAAAAACCCGTTGTTGGTCATTAGGACAAGCCGGAAGTTACCATAGCAACATCATCTTCGAAATCTATCTATATACTCAACATGGAACTGGTCTTAACTCTTCAGTAAGCGACAGTAATATTAGTCGTTCTTTGCAGAGGATAAAGAATGTCACCTCTGTTGCAGTACAAGGCCTTCTGACATATTTGACGACTTGTACTAAACTGAGCTCCCTCGTGATCATAAACATGCCACAGGTTACAGTAATGGAGAACATCCAAATGACCGTGAGATGAGAGCCACATGCTGCTTCACCAAGTCAAGAAGACATTATTATTATTATTACACTTTCATTCAGGTGGGTATCAAGCGTTTGGGCACACCTTCTCCAGGGGGGACAACTCCTGTTTGAGGCTGTCCAGTCTCTCCAGTAGCTGGCGCTCTTGAATCAGCTGGTGTTCGGGCAGGTGAAGGGCCGTGTGCAGCAGGTGCACCACGTGCTTCATGTCGTCCAGCTGCAGGGCGTGCTCACTGGACTTGCACACTGCCGAAACAGAGGATAAGGACCATTTTATGTCAAGTTTTTCAGAATTAAGCATTTACTAGTTTCTATGTAGAGTTAATGTATCCGCAGCAGCGTTTTGTCAGATCGAATTGGTTTCACGGTTAGGTGACCTTTCAGAAATCTTCATATTAAAACAGACAAAACAAGTTCTTGTTCATTTTAACGCTTGTGACTACTAACAGTGTAGCCATGTGACTCACGGACAGAAAACAAAACACGGACTGCCTCAAACCTGAAATTTTAGGCAGTATACTGCCGTAGCTATTCACGAAAGGGCCAAAGTGATTTTGGTTATCAAGAAAACCATGAAAAAAATGGCAAGTCATTCTTGCGACGTTGCCGTTACGTTTGTCCCAACAAATGTATCTTCAACTGTACCGGGCATTTTAAAATGAACAAGAAACTGGGAAAAAAAAAACAAGTGTGGTCAACAATTCCCCCCACCCCCCACCATGACTGTAACGTTACTTCAAATCAGACGGATCGCATCGAACGTACACAAAGAACGATCACGTTCCCCTCACTCCAAACGACGGGTAGAGCTACTTTGAGAACAAGTCGTTCAGGTTTGAAAACATTCAAAATGTTGAGAGCGGACATGTTTCCGTACCTTTCTCCGGCGCGTGGACATCGTAAACGGTGTTGTTGATGACCAGCTTGAAGCGCTTGTCTATCAGCAGTGCTTCTATCAGCGTGTTGTAGGCCACACGTTTGCCATCTGTCCGGGACACATACATGAAAACACAAATTACTCACGAAAACGCAGTCGAAATGCTCAACGGATGAAAATGACACTTTTAAAGACTCGACATAAATTTCATGTCCGTATGCAAAATCCACAACCTTGTAAAAATCTATTTAGCTCTTAAGGTGTTGCGAGTTTCCATTGCCCAATGGTTGCTATGGCAACTTCACTTGTGAAGCATTCCGATTGCAAAAGCATTCCATTCGGGACCGTCTCAGCACCGTGTTAGCTCCATTTTACAAAGAGGTCGGGTCGGCGTGACGCAAGGCTTATGTGGCCGCCCACAATCATTTTCAACACGAGATTGCATTGGAAACTGGCGGGCATCCAATGACCTACTGCCCTGCAAATTGACAAAAGTCACATAAGAACTAATCACACTATGCCAAGCGGAGCGAGTAAAATAGTACAATTGGACCAGAAACTCTCCAAAATTCCCCAAAACTCCCAAAAATTTAAACTCATCTAAAGAAGCAGGGTTTAAAAGCACAAAATTTGCCCACCCGCACTCTAAATTTCTCATCGGTCTGAGTCGCTGTTTGTCTCCATGTGCCCTGCAATGATCTGGCAACCGGTCCGCTGCGTAGCTTGCCTCTTGCCCAAAGAAAGCAGGATACAAAACAGACGGAAGGGATCGGTTTGGACATTTTCCCAAAAAGCGAATGAAGCAACAGTTTTGTGGCTTGACTTCTTTCGTTCCCCACCGCACTCCCACAGAACCCGTTTGGCGGCATGCCGCGAATCGGTGTCGCCTACGGGGCGGGGGTTGTTTGCAATGGAGTACGTACCTTTGGAGAGCACCGTGGCGGTGGCACCGGGGTCTTCCCTCTGCAGCTCGCCGACCAGGTTGCCCACCGTCATGAGCATGGGCTGTAGAAAGAAGAGGCACATCTCGCTCCTGCACGTCAGCGGCACCTCCAGAGCCAGACGCCCGTGCTTGTAGGTGAGCGACACTTCTGCCAAAGAAAAAAAGAGTCACTGTCTGGAGCAGGAGTGGGCAAACTTTTTTTTTTTTTTTTTAACTCAGATGCCATATTTGATTTTTAAAGTATACAGATGGGCCAAGTTTTTTTGACAAATATTTTCCTTTTTACTGCAAATGAATATCGGCTCCAAATATCTGTGATCGATCTCCTTCGGTATCACTGTGTCACTCTCTTAATTACTGGACATAAATTGCTGCATTTTTTTTTTTTTTGTGTGCGAGTCACGCCCCACTTGGCTCGAGCTGCAGCATATATGAAGCCTGCTCGCAACACAAGGACAGAGGGAAAACAGTTTCATAAATTGGGTCACTCGCAAGTCAAATTAGCAATTACAATGAATCAAGTGATCACATTTTAAATTAGAAATGTTAAAAAAAAAAAAAAAATGAATGAATCAATTTTGCTAAGGCAAATCTCGGAACGAGCCATAATTGGCTCTTGGTTATTATTATTATTATTAGGATTGTATTATCGCCAGTAGAGGTAATAGTAGTGCATTAAACCATCTTTACCTGTAGGGGGCGGGCGTGTGCTGTAGAATACAGCCTGACAAGCTCCAATAAGACGCACCTGGGAAGAACAAATAATCCATCATGATTTAAGAGTGTTCCCTTGCTAATTGGATCAACTGGCAAGGATTGGAATGCAAACAAAACCTGGAAAAATGATGACACCAGCATTTTTTTCCACTTCATTAAAAAAAAAAAAAAAAAAACGCACACTGCACCCCTTTTCCCTTGCTTAATGACGTAAATCCCACCAGGCTCGGAGTGCAATTTCCGCTGATTGAAAGTGGAGTTTTTTTTTTGCCAACGCATGGATTTGCCTCACGTTTCATAATATTTGTATCGCAATAAACAGGACGCTCACTCATCCGCAGAACAGCTCGTGTCTTCGGCAAGTCAGCACGAGCACCAGACACACACACACACACACACACACAGGAAGCGTGAAGGCGGTATTGTAACAAGATCATGGTACGGTTTCAGGTAAAAGTGGGAATCATCACATTGCCAAGACAAACAGAATCACGTGCGCAGTCTCGAGCAAATTGGATGGATTCATTGGCAACGGAATGGCAGTCATAGGCATGCCACATGTTTTTTTTTTTTTTTTTTTTTTCATGATTTCTAGAGTAAAATATCTGCCGCTGCGATTAACCCCCCTATTATCCTTGGGGGTCAATTTGACCCCATTCAATGTTTATCATGACAGAAGCTTCCACATTGTGCATACAATTAGATTCCAACAGCTACACTGTAACCCGAATTTGTCGGAATGCGCCATAACTACACTCAAGCAGAAATATAGTCATACTGCACTTAGAACTATTTGTATGAAAAACACTTCTGGGATGTAAAAATAAACAGCCAAAAGAAGAAGTACAAAAAAAAAAAACTACGTTCCTGTCAGCCAAGACACACACACACACACACACACACACACACACACACAAAAGCCCTCTCGGTTCCCCCATCACCTTTTGTCCTCCAGCAAGCATACCATTCAATCAATATCAAATTAAAAGGAGTGCTGGGGAGGCCGCTCAAAGTAAAAAAGAAGAGATTGACGTTTACCAGGTGGACTCAAATGTAAAAACATTACTCTGCCGGAATCCTAATTTTGCCGTGTAACAGCTACTTGATTAGTCAAGAGCAGCAGTGGCTCCATCGCTATTGACTTTGAGTGAGGGCTGATAGCTTTTGCACTGCGACCTTCTGTGAGCTCAGAAAAAAAAATGACTTGACAGAGGGGAACAACCACATGATGAAGTCGAAGTGCACAGTGTATACTTTTCCATAAAGATTGTCGATGCTCACTTTTGTCAGACGGGCTTTCATCTCATGACGTTTGCTATGACTACGAAAACCAAAAACTGCAGCAAAACGATGGAGCCGCCCGTTTGTGTTGAAGCTCGTTCGTGGCGCACACAATGAAGCGGCTGCCGAGCGTCAAAGAAGGTGCGTCACCTCAGGATGAAATGCAAACATGAACAAGACTGAGCAAGCAACATGAGGGGGTCCGCCTGGTCGCGTGACTTTTTCAAGCCCAAAGAAACGAGGAACTTAAGAAAATAAATAAATAAAAATGGCAAGTTTGAAATCCATTTCAAAGCTGCACACCCGCTCCGCGCGATCACGCTCAACCTTCAGCGGACTGGCCTCCACAGCCGTGGGTTTTCTTATTTACGGGATGCGGTCAAGGCCGAAAAGTGGCAAAATTCCATCAGGTCGCGCTAAACAAAGCCACGCTTAGTGCTTGAGAAATTGGTCATGGCGAGCGCGGCGACAAACGGCCTCATTCGGCGAGCCGTGTTTTTTAAAGGCGTTGCGCTACGCTACTCGCACGTATGGATGCAGTAGGCGATCACTCATTTCAATGGTTTGCTGTAGCTTGCGGGAAAGGTAGGGGAGCTGGATTGAGCTGCAAAACGCTTAAGGCGGAAACCCACCACCACCCCCATAAGAGCCACTACGTAAGAAAATTCAATTATTCCCAGCTGTCATTGTGATGAAGTGCAGGCAGCGAAGCGTTGATCCCAGCGGCTTTGGCGGGGAGAGCACAGCGGGATAACGGAAAATGTCGAAAAAAAAACAATAAGAACAACAACAGTTCAATACACTCACGCGTAACATCCACATGATTATTGTATCATTCCACGCCCTCGCGTCTCTTCATTTATCAACAGGAAGCAAACCTCAACCCCAACCCGGATGGCGCTTCGAGCCATCTCGTCTAAGACCACCCAAATTTCACCACAGCGAGTGAGCATACTTTTGCAAAACAGCCAACGCAGTCTCAAGCGAAACTACAATATCGCTCTTCACAACAAGAAAATATCCAGCTCGTTTCACAATTTAGTACCGCTGACAGAATTGTTAATACTATTGGTGAGCCTCGTGTGTAGGTGGTTTATTTGAGTTGAATAATTCAGCGACTGATTTTTATGGAACGTCGGTGAAGTGCAGGCAGCGAAGCGTTGATCCCAGCGGCTTTGGCGGGGAGAGCACAGCGGGATAACGGAAAATGTCGAAAAAAAACATTGAGAACAACAACAGTTCAATAACCTCACGCGTAACATCCACATGATTATTGTATCATTCCACGCCCTCGCGTCTCTTCATTTATCAACAGGAAGCAAACCTCAACCCCAACCCGGATGGCGCTTCGAGACATCTCGTCTAAGAAGACCCAAATTTCAGCACAGAGAGCACAATTTTGCGAAACAGCCAACGCAGTCTCAAGCGAAACGACAATATCGCTCTTCACAATAAGAAAATATCCAGCTCGTTTCACAATTTAGTACCGCTGACAGAATTGTGAATACTATTGGTGAGCCTCGTGTGTCGGTGGTTTATTTGTGTTGAATAATTCAGCGACTGATTTTTATGGAACGTCGGTTCATGACTGTGTAGATGTCGGTGCGTGGCGTTGGTGAGTTACGATCACAATTGATGCCATCTTGTGGTATCTATAAGTCATTACAAACCAATTGGGGAGGGTGTCCATTATTTGCAAATGTTCACTATTCATGGTCGGGGGTGGGGGGGGGGGCACACTAACAAAGTCATGAGATCTCACTCGGTGAGCATCTACAGGATGAAGTGTCTCTTACTTTGGTGTTGAGTTACTTTCTTGAAAAGCAGCAAAAAGGGAAAAAAAAATTGATGACGCCCACAGAACAGGAAATTGAACTAAACGGCCAGATAATAATCTACAAAAAGAATTGAAAGTGCACCATGTCGTCAGTTATGTTTTGTCCGTCTGTGCAGAAACGCAACCCCAATGCGTATTTGTATTTCACCCTCTTGATGACGAAGTGTTACCTTCAGAAGTGACCCCCCCCAATAAAAAACATGCTTTTATTGTTTTTAATGGAGGCTCATACACACGCAATTCACTCTTTTATTTTATTTTTTATTTTTTTTAAGAGCCGGGGCACAACAAGCAGCTACCCTTCTGTGCAGAAACGCAACCCAAATGGGTATTTGTATTTCACCCTCTTGATGACCAAGTGTTACCTTCAAAAGTGACCCCCCCCCCAAAAAAAAAACATGCTTTTATTGTTTTTAATGGAGGCTCATACACACGCAATTCACTCTTTTATTTTATTTTATTTTTTATTTTTTTAAGAGCCGGGGCACAACAAGCAGCTACCCACTCAATGTCATCGTCAAGAAAGACAGTGACTTTATTTCCATGACCCCTCAAAAGACACTGATTTCAGCATCGCTTGAATTGAGGGTTAAAAGTGTGCTATAACTCATGATCCTTGGAGCAGTTTGACGACAGTACGTCTCCTTTAAAATGTCCACGATTGACCGGTTAAGGTAACTCCTTTTTCTACTTCAGGAATATTTTAAAAACGTGGCGGGTGACATCGACTCGCCTTCAGCGAGCCTCCGGTTTCACTTCTTTGACGCCTTCATTCACTTCTTTGAACGGGACATCTCTGTAGTATTCTGATTACACTGCCAAGAACTTAATTTTCGACACTCGTTAGTTAAAACGTGAGAATGTGGCTTTTGCAGTGGCCCAAGTGTGACACAATAAGTGAGTATTGCCATTATTTTTTCCTCATGGGCGGTGGGGGTGGGGCTCAGAGGTCGTCGCCAGTGTCCCGGGAACAAACTCACTGGCTCAGTTTAATCAATCTGAGAGGCAAGAATGAATCTTGATAGGATGCGCACTTTGCTTCTTTCTAGCACTCTCAACCGGCTAGGCCATTACTGCCGATGGATATTAGGCATCCGTCCGCCCTCTGCGCTGATAGTCATGGATGATCACGCGGAGGGTAAAAAGATGGCACTTTAACAGCCGATCGATAAATCAAGAGGCGGGAGA